ACCTGAGGCTGCACCCCCCCCACTCTGCGGGGCTTGACGGGGGACCTGAGGCTGCACCCCCTGCCCGGCAGGGCTTGACAAGGGTGGGGCCGGACGGGTCTGGATCTTGCATGATTTTGAGGTGCTGCGGGTGTGCGGGGACTTGACTCTGGGCCCCACAGTCCACCCCAGACTCTGACAGGAGGAAGATTTTCATATACATTTTACTAATTTTCTTTCATCTCTGACACTTCTATTATAGAGAAAGGGCAAATAGCAATAATAAAACACTAGTGGACGGGTGCATGAAATTTGTGCACGGGGGGGGGGGGGGGTCCCGGCCTGCCCCCTCTCCAATCTGGGACACCTTGACGGATGTTCGACTGCCGGTTTAGGCCCGATCCCATCGGCAGAAGGACATCCCTCTCACAATCCAGGACTGCTGCCTCCCAAGCACTCGCCTGCCTGCCAGCCTGATTACCCCTAACTGCTTCTGCCTGCAAACCTGATCACCCCCTAACCACTCCTCTGCCAGCCTGATCGATGCCTAACTGCTCCCCTGTCTGCCTGATAGCCCCCAACTGCCCTCCCCTGCTGGCCCGGTCACCCCTAAGCACCCTCCCCTGCCAGCCTGGTCCCCCCCCTCTTTCCTCCCTCTCCTGCAGGCCCGGTCTCCCCCAACTGCCCTCATCTGCTAGCCTGGTCACCCCTAACTGCTCTCTCCTGCTAGCCTGATCTCCCACAACTACCCTCCTGTGCTGGTCTGATCACCCTCAAAGCCTTCCCCTGTGGGCCCGACCACCCCTAATTGCACTCCCCTGTCAGCTTGGTCGCCCCTAACTGCCCTCCCCTGATGGCCTGGTCGCCCCCAACTGCCATCCCCTGCCAGCCTGGTCACCCCTGGTGGTTTGAAGGCCGGCCATGCCCCCATTGGGGTGGGGGTCCCCACTGGGGGTGCCTGGCCAGCCTGGGTGAGGGGCTGATGGCTGTTTGCAGGCTGGCCATGCCCCCCGCGGGGACTCTCACCCCATGGGGGCATGGCCAGCGTGGGTGAGGGTTTGAGGGCCATTTTCAGGCTGGCCACACCCCCTTCAGGGTGGGGGTCTCTGCTGGGGTGCCTGGTCAGCCTGGGTGAGGGGCTGATGGCTGTTTGGAGACTGGCCACAGCCCCCAGCGGGGACCCTCACCCCAGTGGTGGCCTGGACAACCTGAGTGAGGGGCTGAGGGCCGTTTGCAGGTCCCTCCCTCCGTGGCTGGCCTGGGCGACCCAAGGCTACTGCTAGCTCTGGCCTGCTCTGTGGCCGCTGCCCACAGGCCCCTCCTTCGGCAGCTAGCCCAGGCGGGCATGAAACTTGGCTTCCTCCATCGCCAGGGGTGACCCAAGCTTCCCGCCCGCTCTGGCTGGATCCGTGGCCGCCGCCATCTTTGTCCCGCTAATTTGCATATTCCCTCCTAATTGGTGTGGTGCGTCACAGAGGTACGGTCAATTTACATATTTGTCTATTATTAGTGTGGATTTCCTCTAATTAATCCCCTTTTAATGTGCACGAATTTCGTGCACTGGGCCACTAGTTAACTATATCCTCCTATCCCAACACTAGACCAGCAATTGAGTTGGCTGCTCCTCACAACTGCTCCTGTCCATTCTAAGGACCATATATCACAGACCACGGGCCTCCCCCAAAAGCCAGGCCTGTGCAGCCATACCAGAATTACATCCATTAATACCTTACATTCCTATTTTCCCAGACAATGTGAAAGATATATGCCCCTCCCATTATTTCATCTTCACTCTCATAGCTAGTGATTCCTTTCCCCACATAATACAATTGCTCCTCCTATTTTCCTTCTACGCCTTTGTAATGTGCTACCTGAAACTCCCAAAGCCTCCACAGCCCTCTTAAGAGCAGCTCATCTTCCCACACCTTATTAAGATCAGAATGTAGACTTGGCATCCTCTTTGATCCCCACTACTATTTCCCAGCTGTTCCTCCTCTGCTCCTTTGTAAAATCCCTTGTTCCCTCAAAGCTCACAGTAATTGGGTGTACCATCCTATAACTGGAGACTTTGGCACCTGACTCAAGAGCGTTCCTCTCCACCAGTCTGTGTTTTGTTCAACACAAAGGGAAGAACCCATCCCTCTCACCCTGATGCCTCAATTCAATGACTGTCTGATTCCACTTCAGCTATCTACTTGAGTGGCTGGCCAGACACTGAACCTTGTCTGTGTTCAAAACTGCTCCATCTCCGAAAAAATTATTTCTGACATCCTATTCTCCCACCTTACACCCTTCCTCAATAACTCCTACCACTCCTGTTACTCAACCACACTGAGATCTCCAGACCACTTTCTCCCTTCCCCACAGCCTACTCTATCTTCACATCCCACCCTATTCAGTTTAGAATCCATGGTTTCTCATTTTAACTACTATTCCAATATCCTAAATTCCCTCATCCCTTTTCCTTTTGTTGTATCTGTTTAGTAAATGCCAACTCAAGACAAAATCAATTCTGTCTCCTCCATGCCTGCACCAAGGCTGATGAATGATATTGAATAAAATTATAAAACAGTATTCAAGTTATTAAATTCATGGTTTTCAACCCGAAATGGGCAGTAATTTTATTATATTCCTAGCAAGCTTACTCTGTCATTCCTTACAACTATTTCAAGTTTTATCTCTCAAATCACTGAGCTCACCTACTATGTAAGACCTTGCTGTAAATAAGTATACATAATACTAAATCAGCCTCAGCTAGTCCAAACAGAATTTATTTTTAAATATAAGAGAAAAATCCATTATACTCTTGCATTGATCACTACACATTTTATGGTAAAATTGAAGAAACAGAATGCTTCCTCCAAAATCTCACTTTCCATCACAGTCAAATATTAAACATAGTGTACTAAAAAATTAATAGAATAATATATCAATTAATTATACAATATTTTAATCTTAAACAGTAATTCTTATTAGAGAGAAAAGACCAATTAGTAAAGATAAATTACAGAATATCTAAAAATAAAAACATATAAGACAAAACAATAATAAACTAAAACAAACAAAAAAGTCCATTATGCACTATACACTAAAAGCAAACAAAATACTGGCAAACATTCCACAATTCTAAATAACAGATAAGGATTTGCTAAAGTAGGTATATTAATATTTAAACTTATGATTAACAATAGTAGCAACATTCTTTTCTTATAAAGATTAAATATTTCACATGAAGTCTTCTTTTTATTATTTAGCAAACTATTTTCTTTGATAGAAAAGTGAACCTTATCTGAATATGTTCTGAATATACTAGAACTCAGTTTAACGAAATATTAACATACCTATTGTTTTAAATGAATAGGATTCAACCATTAGCACATTTTTCAAAGACATCTCAGATTAACTACTTTATTTCAGGCGGGGGGGGGGGGGGGGGGGGAAAATTTTGCTTACTCTGTTATTTTCTAGGACATTAATAGAACATCTACATCATACTGCAATTACTCCCCCAAACACCAAAGTACAACAGAATTGTACTGTTATTTCAGTACAACATAAACAATAGGTAGACAACTAGTAACAAACTCTCAAGAAATAAATACAAAGGAATATATTCATAAAACTAACTTTACAATTATAGAAATGCCAAGATAATTATGACCAAAGTTATTTAGGCATACCTATGTATCAAGAACACACAAGCCGCCAGAACCGGTTTGGCTCGGTGGATAGAGCGTCGGCCTGCGGACTTGAGGGTCCCGGGTTCGATTCCGGTCAAGGGCATGTACCTTGGTTGCGGGCACATCCCCAGTAGGGGGTGTGCAGGAGGCAGCTGATCGTTGTTTCTCTCTCATCAATGTTTCTAACTCTCTATCCCTCTCCCTTCCTCTCTGTAGAAAATCAATAAAATATATATTTAAAAAAAAAAAAAAAAAACACACAAGCCATGTAAGTAGGAGACAAAATGAGAAGAAAAGGAAAAGCATTTTAAAGAAATGCTATCATAGGTACCTAGGAAAGTGTTCTTAAAAGAGAAGATAGGAACAAAGAAAGGAAAAGGAAACAGGCCAAAAATATCTGAATGAAAATAAGTCAAAGGCAGTTTCCTAGTTATAATTAAAATGTACAATTAACTAATAAACTTCCAAAAATCTTAGTTGTATCTAACTTTGGAAAGACAAATTACACTGCAGAGCCCTACCCTGGTAAAAATTTTTTCACCTCTTTTAAAAACAAAACCCAGCTGGAAAAGGAAAATTAAGTTGTTTCTAGCCCTGGCCAGTTTTCTCAGTGGTTAGAGCGTCAGCCTGCAGACCAAAGGGTTGTGGGTTCAATTCCAGGGCAAGGGCACATACCTCTGTTGCCAGTTCACGCCAGTAAGGGCACATACAGGAGGCAACCAATTGATGTGTCTCTCTCACATCTATGTTTCTCTCTCTCCCGCCCCCCAATCTCCTTCCCTTCCACTCTCTCTAAAAATCAATGGAGAAAATATCCTGGGGTGAGGATTAATAAGTAATAATAATAAGTAAAGTTGTCTCTATTTCTAAATCGTTTTACAAAAAAAAGTAATAGAAAATTTATTTTCTTTTTAAAGCTAGATCCAACTGATGAACCAAAATGTCTCTGAAAGTAACCAAAAGAAAAGTTGAAAAATTCTATTTGGGTTTCTGTAAAATATTGGTAGAGACTTGGGCAAGGAGGGAGGAAAAGGAAAACTCTGTCCACATTCTTATAGATGGTCTCCTTCCTAACTGAAAAGGCCAGCATTTAGAATAAGCTAAATGTGCATGTCCACTTACTCCCTACAGAATCCAATAAAGTATACAGTTGAAGATGAATTCCTTAATTGAATGGCTGAATAATATGGGTGCATATGGTTATATCTTATTATAATTATAATACATATACACATACATTTATGTATGTATACTTAAGTACATAAACTTATCCATTTTAATTTTAAACTCACTAAGTAATATTTTCAAAACAAAAAAACAAACATATGTATATCCACCTACCTTAGATTTGTCTTAATATATTTTTTCCTGCCACATTTGTTCATTATTAAGACATTTGTAATAAATGCTTTGCTCCTTCTCGGTTTTCTTCTTTATGTATCCTGCAGTGAAATTATAATGTTGAATTGGGAGATCATAACATTTAATTTTTTAAAAATTAAAACCTCTCAAAACTACACCAGGAAAATACCCTAATTTCTGTAAAATTGAAAAAAAAAACAGTATAGAAAGCTGAAAACAAGTCTATATTTTTTTCAACTTTAACTCTATTTAATTTTATGATCTTCTTAGGAAAAAATTTGAAAATCCTTAAATCATGTGCTATTTCTCAGATTCTTTTCTACTGAAGAGAAAGTAGTGCTGTCTAATTACTTAATATACACTATGCACTACTCATAAGTATCAGCTCTATTTTTATTTATTTTTTACTTTTTCAATCCTCACCCAAGGATCTATTTTCCAATAATCTTTAAAGAGAGAGTGGAAAGGAGGGAGAAGGTGGAGAGATAGAGATTAGAGATAGAGATAGAGATAGAGATAGAGATAGAGAAATACTGATATGAGAGAGGCACATCAACTGGTTGCCTCCTGAACTCACCCTGACCAGGGCTGGAGATTGAACCTGCAACAGGAATCCAACCTGAGACCCTTCAGTCCACAGGCCAACGCTCTAACCACTGAGAAAACTGGCCAGGGCTATGTTTAAATGGTAATAATCACTTAATAAACTGAATAAATCATTTTCTTTTTTTTCCTTTATTGATTTTTTAGAAAGAGAGAGAGGAAGGGTGTGAGAGAGGGAGAGACAGAGGGAGGGAGGATGGGTAAGAGAGGGAGAGAGAGAAAGAGAAACATCAATTTGTTGTTCCACTTATTTATGCATTCATTGGTTCATTCTTGTATGTGTCCTAACCAGGAATCGAACCTACAATCTTGGTGTATTGGGACGACACTCTAACCAAATGAGCTATACAGCCAGGACAAATCATTTTCTTAAATTTCACTTCACTGCAACAAATTTGTCAACCACTTTACATTTACCTTAAATCTGAAACTTGGTTTTGGCAAAGAATTTTAATTCCAAACAAAATATTAACATTTATTTAAAATCTCCTTCGAGAGGAAGCAAGATAGCGGCATAGGTAAATGCCTATACTTGCCGCCTCTACAACCACATCAAAATTACAACTAAAATACAGAAAAACCATCATTCAGAACCGCCTGAAAGCTGGCTGAATGGAAGTCCTACAACTAGATTAAGTCAAGAAGAAACACATTGAGACTGGTAGAAGGGGTGGAAGCCGGAATGGGCTAGTCCAGTGGTCGGCAAATCGCGGCTTGCAAGCCACATGCGGCTCTTTGGCCCCTTGAGTGTGGCTCTTCCACAAAATCCCACGTGCGGGCGCGCACATACAGGGCGACTGAAACTTCGTGGCCCATGCGCAGAAGTCGGTTTTCAGCCTGGGAAAGTCTATTTTGAAGAAGTGGCGTTAGAAGAAGTGGGGGTACGTTCGCTGAGGTCGCCCCCGCAGATTGAGGGCATTTTTAGCAAAGGCCAGCTTAGGAGTACCCTAATTAAGTTAATAAGAATGTACCTACCTATATAGTTTAAGTTTAAAAAATTTGGCTCTCAAAAGAAATTTCAATCGTTGTACTGTTGATATTTGGCTCTGTTGACTAATGAGTTTGCCGACCACTGGGTTAGTCCAATACTCATATGTGCTGTTTTTTTCATCGGAAGGGCTATCTCTGGGGCAGATGCCGCCCATGAGAAGCAAGGGGTCCCAGTTGCACACCAGCCCACCAGCCCAAGGTTCCAGAGCTGGGAAGAGAAGTCCCCGAAACTGCAGGCTGTAAAAACCAGTGGGGATTGTGGCTGAGTGACATGAAGGCTGCTGGAATCCTTGGTGTTCCTCTTAAAGGTCCTGCACTCAAACTTCCACAGTCCAGTTTCTTCTGACCTCCAGCACCAGGAGACCCAGAAACATACAGGGAGGAACTGGATTGTCTGGCATTGCTGCAGGAACTTGGGGACAGTTTTCTCTCAAACAGGGAGCTCACAGGGGTCATTGTTCCTGTGCTTTGACCTCCCCTGTCACAGGGCTGACTGGCAGGCATATCTGAGGCTCCATCAGCCTGGAGCACATTGTTTGCTCCACCTTGGGGATTCCCTGAGACCCCGCCCCATCCAATTTGCAGCCCCACCCATGCTGTTTGCAGGAGCTTTTCCATATGAATGGCCTGTCCTGGGTCAGGCTTCAGACTTTGCTAAAATCTGTCAACAAGCTACAGCTAGTGACAGCATGCCCCAAATTGATCAGTAAAAGGCCCAAGACCCAGCACTAGCACCAGCCTGCTTTGCTTCACCAGGGATTCCAGCAGCCTCCTTGTCATTCACCTGGGCAACTCCAAGCTCAATACAAATAGCAAATTGCAGGTCCCTCTGTAGCTCCTGCTGGGTGGCCCCAAGCAGTGGCTAACTTTGCATCTCCCTGGAGGCCCCAGAGCCAGTGCACTTGGTGGACAGCTTCAGACCACAGCAGAGTAGAACTCTACACATCCACAAGCGACATATTCAAGGGGCAGACTCAGTGAACACCAAAACCCCACTGAAGCAAGTCCTGCTCCATAGGGGTATTTCCTGAAAAGCAGCTCTCCCACTGTAGTCACAGCTGTTCCAAACAGCCAATAGGCCTGAAGGTCAACTCCTCCCAGTGACATCAACAGCAATCAAGGCTCAACTACAAGACTGTGCACACAGACCACACCGGGGTGCATCTGGAATGTCCAGCTCAGGTGATTGGAGAGACTGAGCCACTGGGCCCTACAGGCCACTCCACCAACTCCAGAAGACATAGCAGCTCTACCTAATACATAGAAACAAACACAGGGAAGCAGTCAAAATGCAGAGACAAAGAAACATGTCACAAATTAAAGAAATGGAAGCAAGCAAACTACTGGATACAGAGTTCAAAAAAAGTTATATGGTTACCCAAGGATCTTAATGAGACTTTCAAGGATCTTAGTGAAAATGTCAAAGACATGAAAAAGGACCAGTCAGAAATTAAGTATACAATAACTGAAATAAAGAATAGTTTACATGGTTTCAATAGTAGAGTAGAGGATTCCTAGAATCAAATCAACAATTTGAAATATGAGGAAGCAAAAAACACCCAATCAGAAGAGTAAAAAGAAAAAAGAATCCAAAAATATGAAGATAGTGTAAGGAGCCTCTGTGACAACTTCAAGCGTACTAACATTTGAATTATGGGGTTGCCAGAAGGAGAAGAGAGAGAGCAAGATATTGAAAATATATATGAAGAAATGACAGAAAACTTCCCCAACCTGCTGAGAGAAGTAGACTTACAAGTCCAAGAAGCACAGAGAGCCCCAAACAAGAGGATCTCAAAGAAGCCCACACCAAGAAACATCATAATTAAAATGCCAAGGATTAAAGACAAAGAGAGAATCTTAAAAGCAACAAGAGAAAAGCAGTTAGTTACCTACAAGGGAGCACCCATATGACTGTCAGCTGATTTCTCAACAGAAACTTTGCAGGCCATAAATATTCAGTGATGAATAGTAAGGACCTACAACCAAGATTATTCTACACAGCAAAGCTCTCACTTAGAATTGTGGGTCAGATAAAGAGCATCACAAATAAAAAAAAGCTAAAGTAGTTCATCACTACCAAACCAGTATTACATAAAATGTTGAAGGGTATTCTTTCAGAAGAGGAAGAGGAGGAGGAAGGAAGAAGAGGAGGAAGAGGAGGAGGAGGGAGAGGAGGAGGAGAGAGAGGAGGAGAAGGAGGAGTGGAGGAGGAGAAAAAAAATATGAACAATAAAATGGCAACAAATACATATCTATCAACAATTGGATCTAAAAATCAAAATAAACGAACAAGAAAGCTAATGAACAAAATAAACTGGTGAATAAAATAGAATCAGAGGCATAGAAGCGTGGAACAGACTGATGAATCTCAGAGGGAAGGAAGCGGGGGAGCAGAAAGAGATGAACCAAAGCTCTTACTGGACACAGACAGTAGAGTGCTGAAGGCCGGGGTTGGGGTGGGAACTGGCTGGAGGGGGACAATGTGGGGGGAAAAGGAGACATCTGCAAAACTCTCAACAATAAGGATTTTTTTTTAGGTCTTTATTGTTCAAAGTATTACATATGTCCCCTCCCGCCCCCATTAATCCCCTCCTGCCCACCCCCAATATTTTTTTAATAAAAAAATTAAAAATCTCCTTCAACCTATTAAAAAAACTGTTTTAATTTTAAACACTCTAGCAATTTAACCCATTTTTTACTAATATATTTTTTAAATATGCCTTTGGGATGCTGAATGAAGTAAAATTAGCAAAGAAAAAAGATAAAAGAATATCTGGGGTCCCTTATTTTAGGGTTGCAAAGGACAAACGTGCACATCCATAAGTACCTTTTAGGCATCTATCCAGCTACAGCAGTGCTTAGTCACAGACATAGTACCTTCAGAGTTCCCTCCAGAGTGGTCCCCTCTAGGGTGGTGTTATACCATCCCAGTCAATTCTGAAACTGAGTTGCCCCACTTAACTAAGGGCACTACAGCAATGGTTATTTTTGCCACACCTACCCCCTACTCCAGTACAGGGACAATAGATGGTAGGGCGTTTGAACCAGGCTACCTACAACATGACCAAAAAGCAAACATAGTGCCACTCTTTCAGATTAAACTATACCTCTGATCCTATTTATTCACCAATTTATTTTTCTCATTAGATTTCTTATTCATTTATTTTGAGTTTAAGATTCAATTGTTGCCATTTTATTATGCTGACATTTTACATGGGGATATTTCACCTTCCATAAAAATTGTGGCAAGGACCACTTATTTATTACAGAGTAATCGGGCCCTCGCCGGTTTGGCTCACTAGATAGAGCATCAGCCCGCTGACTGAAGAGTCCCAGGTTCAATTCCAGTCAAGGACAAGTACCTGGGTTGCAGGCTCCTCCCTGGCCCAGGCCCTCGTTGGAGCACGTGCAGGAGGCAACCAATCTATGTGTTTCTCTCACATCGATATTTCTGTCTGTCTTTCCCTCTGTCTTCCACTCTATTTAAAAATCAATGGAAAAATATCC